CTGACCAGACAGTTGGAACAGAGGAGCATTTCAGTTCCCTGTCCACCCTACAAAGGTTCTCTGGGAAACAGAGGGTTGAGATTAAGGTTTTTGCGAAGGACATTTATTGATGTGTGTGTGTGTGTGTGTGTGTGTGTGTGTGTGTATGTATGTATATGTCCATTCTCTAAGAGTTACATCCTGAAAGGGAAGGCAGAATTGAGCACACATAGCAAAATTGAGATGAAAAAGAGTGAAAAAAACTCTTTCTAATGGAAACTCCAGTTATCTATGGAGGAAGTCCTGGAGACAAAATTTTCAGAGCTGCCCAAAATTGGGACAGGAGGACCAGCTCTGATACCTGGCGATTTGGTACCCTTGACCCCAGAAGAGCTGTGACTTTGAGCAACTTGCTTGTCTTCAGTGGATGCAATCACCATATGTGGTTGACAGCCAAGCCCATCGCTGGTGGCAAGTATAACCAGCAGGAGCAGTTAAATCCTTCCCTTCTAACAGCCTCCACAGGGAGTCTGGATGACACGGAAAAGGGTCAGGTCCTGCTGATTCTCCAGGCAGTTCTCATAAAATGAAGAGGTATCTGTTTTGTTCTTATTAACATGCATCTCCAGAAACATCAAAGTGATGTGGACACACCCTAATGATCTGGACTGAGGGGTTCTCATTGGACATATGCAAATATCTGTGCTAACATTTCATGAGCTTGTATGGTCAGGAATTGTCACTTGGAGTTAGCAACTGCTCCAAGAAACCACCCCCCCCCCCTTTTTGTGACATCAGCCTTTTGTCACAACATGGAGAGACAAAACAAATCAATATGGGGATGCTGAGGAGGCTGATATCTGGATGAGGTCCCTGATTTTCACCCTAAAGAGGACTCTTCCTCCTGCTGCTAAACCCTGCTGTGGTGTTCTGTAGCTCCTTCATTTCTATTTGAATGACTTCCTTCATTTTTCTCCAGGTCTTTTTCTCAAGTTGATTGACTATTTCTTTCAATGATATTCTTAGTGCTTTATCAGAGCTAAGGAATGCACCAAGTTCCAGGTGGCCAGAACAAAGATCCTATGATTCTGTGTGCAGTATCAAGTTGTGCTTATGATTCTACTAATTTCTGGTAGTCATCACTGTCTTGTGATGATTTCTTGGCAGGCAGGAGAGAGGAGTGGGTAAAGCTAGGTTCAGAGCTCTAACCAGGTGGGTCTGGAGGCTAGGAAGGGCTGTAATGGTACTTGAGGAGTGAGGAGGGTATGTGTGACTTAGGTTGGCTGGGGACTGTGGGACCGGAGGAGTAGATCAAAGTTGGGCAGTACCTAAGGACTGGAGAGGCCTGCAACCCCTTCCTAAATGGTCACCATGACTGCTGATGCTCGCAGTGTCATTGCCAGGCCACTGGTCCTTTCCACTCCAGGCACACATGGAGATGGTTCTGTAATTTGTGACTGTATCCATAATTTGTGAACACTGTCATCCCTGGCAACTCAGAGGTAACCCACAGCTTTGTTGAAAAAGAACTGTCCCATTTCTGAGGGCTGTATGTGTCAGATGGATGTGTCAATAAAATGAATAACACCAGGCCATTCGCTATGCCGGGAGCCACTCACCCAAGCTATAACTCTGTCTCTTGATTTCTCTTGGGTTTTGCCACTTCCTCTTGGTGCCACGGAGAAAATGGACATCTGATCACCCTTATTTCAGAATAGATTGGTCAGAAAAATAGGCTGCTGGGCAGATGGTTCAAAGGACTGGAGCATAGGTTTTCTGTGCAGAGGCCCCACGTTCAATTCTTGATACCAGATGGTCCCCAAAGCAGCTTTATGTCTATCCCAACCCCCCTCAAAAAAGATGAAAAGACTGATAAGAGCAGAAAAGCTCAAGGTGGAGGCTGAGGATCCCAAAATAGGTGAAGGAGATAGTAGGGCTGAAATGGAACCACATGAATGTTTCTCTTTCCTTATTTTCTTACAATAACTAACAGTTTCTTTAGGAGCTAGTTCATAACTGTGTGAGTTTTAAGAAAGGCAAACAGAGGAGAGGGTCAGCTTGTGGCTTAATAGATTGGTTTTCTTTCAAATTCCTTCTCATTAGCATGGGCCCATTGAGCATGAGAATTTTTCTCAGGGCTCTCTCTCTTGCTGTGCATTCAGACCCGCTATAGCTTTACAGGCAGGTATGCTAGAACTGCCTTGTGAGAAAGACATTTGTTGATCACAGAATTGCTTTGCCTCCAGTAGGGAACCTTTTCATCCTGCACAGGCAATGTTTTCAGGTATGTTTGGAAGCTTTTGTCACTTGGTTGTATCCACTGGGTTGTGAAAAATCAAGTGATAATATGTCGCATGTAAGAATCTCCAAGCTTCTCTTTGGCTAAAAGTGTAAAAAGAAAAAGAAAGGATGATTTCTTTCATGTGACAGCTGTGCTGGGGCAGTGGCTTTCTCACCAGCCTCTCTCCCTGTCAGGGTGTGTGTGTGGTGGTGGTGAGGGAATGGGGGTGTTGTCTCTTTAAGGTCCCTAATGAGTGTTGGAATCATTGAGCCATGCTGTTCGGGATCCCCAGACATGTCTTACCACCTAAAGACCAGGACCAGGCTGGCTGCCACAAACGTGTAGTTCTTGTGTCCAGAACAGGAGCAAGTGCTGGTTATGGCCTGGAATGGATGCGCAAGTAATCCCTATCATAAACTCTATTATTTTTACCTGTGCTCTCAACTCTGTGCTCTTCTGAACTCCATGGTCCTAGGAGGTTTCTCTTCTCATGTTGATGTCCAGGACTATGGACCCTGGTCATAAACATCACTTTATCAGAAGGAGGAAGCATTCCCTAAGGGTAAAGAGACTCAACCTTGGCTTTTTCCTTCCCCATAGCACAAGGGAAACGGTAAATCATTGAGAAGCACACTCCACTCCACTGTGGCCAGTCAACTGGTTGGCAGCTTTCATTGTTGAGTCCATGGTCCTTTGGACCCCAGCTGGATAGGGCTCAACCTGTATTATTTTCAATAGTAGTACCCCTGATGCCCCAGTAATTTCACCAATGTACAATAATATGTGCCTGACCTAAGAAATCACTAATCAGTTTTCTTTAAAAAACCCAGTTCCTTGTCCTCATACTTTGAGGCACTAGTGTAGAGGATTAAAAATAATAATAATAAATGTTCCCTTAAGAAAGAAAAGGTTAGCTCCTGTGATCCTGACACAGAGGTGTTATATCACAGAGGGGAGGCAAGTGGGCTAGTATCTACCAGGAAATTGTGGAAGAGGGCGCTGGTTTCTTAATCTGTAAAGTGAAGAAGATAATGCAGGGTAAATCTTAACAAGGGAACAATTGGCAATGGTTCAGAGCAAAATATTTAGGGGCAAGAGAGAGTACAGTGGGTGGGGTGCTTGTCTCCCATTAAGCTGACCACCTTATATTATTCAATTGCTGCCACCTTATATTATCCCTTAAGAATGAATACCATGAAGAATGATCCCTTTATTTTTTTTTTAATTTTTATTAGTGAAACACTGTGAGGTGCAGTTGTAGACTTAAAAATTTTTGTGCTTGGGTTTCAGTTATACAATGATTGAGTACCATCCTTCCACCAGTGCCCATTCCCCACCTCCAATGCTCCCAGCATCCCTCCCACCCACCCCACCCCTGTGCAGGGCATTCCCTTTTGTTCTCTCTCTCCTTTTGGGTGCTGTGGTTTGCAAAAGAGGCTTCGAGTGGCCTTCATGTTCGGTCTACTCATACTTTCAGCATGCATCTCTCATCCTGGGAGGATCCTCCCAACACCCTTTACTTGGTGTTCCCCTCTCTATCTGAGCTGCCTTCTCCCCCAGAATATGCGGCTGGCCTCCAAGGATCCCTTGATTTCTAAACACAGAACCAGGAGCAATCCCTGGGCATTGCTGGATATGTCTCAGAAACAACCAACCAAAAAAGGGAAGGGGAAGGGGGGGGAGGGGGGGTAAAAGTGTTTAGATGTTACAGAGGGCCACTGTATGCAGAGCATGATAGTAGTGTTCTTCGGAAAAGAGGAAAAACATTCTATAGGACTGTGAAATAAAGCATAATTTAATCATCTATGCTCCCGCACAAGAGTCATTCTTATTTTGTTATGTTTTGCGGCAACACCAGTTGTGCTCAAAGATCACTCCTGACAGCCCTTGAAGGATCATATGGGATTGCAGGGATCAAACCCAGGTTGGCCACGTGTAAGGCAAACGTCCTCCCCGCTGTACTATTGCATCAGCCCTACATACAAGTCATTCTAACTGGTAACTGAGAAATAGTTTGAGCCTTACTTTAACTTGCATAATTTATTTACCATAACAGCAGACAACGTTTCAGTGTGCTATTAATTTAACATTTATATCCTTATCAAAAATAGACAACCCAATCTTCTTCCTGATACCATTTTTTCCTGATACCTGAATACCAGCTTCAGGCCAGATCAGTGTGAAAACATCACCTTACAGGTAGGCAGGAAGGTAGATGGATAGATGGATGGTATTTGGAATTTTATATTCTGATTGAATGATATTCTTCTACAATGGAGATGTTCAAAGGTTCATGGTATAAAAAATGTGTGTGTGTCTGTTTTTTCTGTCTGTCTCTCTGTATATGTATAATTTTTTTTTTGACAGTAAAGCCTGACCTCACCTGGCCTTAGGCCATTAAGAAAATCTTTATCCCACTTTGGGTGATTTTCATGTGTTGCTATGGAAATATTAGCAAGTTTGATGTTCGGACACAGCTTTAGGCTCTGCAGTAGCCCCAAGGACTCCAGATAAGGATTCTATAGAGCTCTGTTGATTTTTCTTTAGAGTCTAGGAGATAGTTTTACTAAGAAAGGCATTAAATGCATTTTCAGTTTAAAAGGATCAAAGTTTAAAGGCATTCTGTGAAAAACCAAATAATGAATATGAGCCTTTGTATTCTGTTGGTTCAAACTCTCCTTACTGTACTTGTTCTGATGTGTTTTTATTTTCTTTTCTCCCCATACTGTCACTCTTGTAGGACGAGTCTTCCATGTTCTTCCAGTTTGGCCCCTCCATTGAACAGCAAGCGTCTGTCATGCTCAATATCATGGAAGAGTATGACTGGTACATCTTTTCCATCGTCACCACCTACTTCCCCGGCTACCAGGACTTTGTCAACAAGATCCGTAGCACCATCGAGAATAGCTTTGTGGGTTGGGAGCTGGAGGAAGTCCTCCTGCTGGACATGTCCTTGGATGATGGAGACTCGAAGATCCAGAATCAGCTCAAGAAACTGCAAAGCCCCATCATTCTCCTTTACTGTACCAAGGAGGAGGCCACCTACATCTTTGAGGTGGCCAACTCCGTCGGGCTGACAGGCTATGGCTACACGTGGATCGTGCCCAGTCTGGTGGCAGGAGATACAGACACTGTGCCCTCCGAGTTCCCCACGGGGCTCATCTCTGTGTCCTATGACGAATGGGACTATGGTCTCTCTGCCAGGGTGCGGGATGGGATCGCCATCATTACCAGTGCAGCCTCAGACATGCTGTCTGAGCACAGCTTCATCCCTGAACCCAAGAGTAGCTGCTACAACACCCATGAGAAGCGAATCTACCAGTCCAACATGCTGAATCGGTGAGTGCACAGCTTGAAAGTCTGGGTGGCAGTTCCAGAAACTGTGGAACGAGTGGGTCAGGATGCTAGTGTGATGAGGGCTGTTCTCTAGGATATCAGGAACCACGAAGGGGATTTCAGATCCAGCGCTCATTGTATCTTGTGCTGAGAACTAAGGAGAAACTCTTATCCTGAGGTGCAATTCCCAAGCACCAGTTGGACTTAGCAGTATTGAATGCCATAAAGGCCACCCTGGATGTGATCATAGAAGTCCAGGGCTATTCCTAGTATTGTTGGGATTTGGTCAGGGTGGAGATTAAAGTCAGGGAACTTGCACATGCAAGGCCCCACCCTTCCGTCTCCTTGAACACTGAGTACAAGAGTTGTTCTAAGTGTCTTGCATATTTGGCTTCATTTAATCCTTAAAGCAACTACTTGGACAGGCAGGGTTTTCAAATGGTTTGCATTTGACAGTGCAAGGGAATAAGGCTTGTTCATGAAACTGTCTAAAGTCTCTGCCGGAAGAGAGATTCAGTCTAGAGTTATACCCAGACTTCTTTATGGCCTCTGTCTTGGATAACTCTGAAGACTCTTTGGACATCTGGGTGATCAGCCCCATTGTTTCCTGGGAGGCTGTTGTATGAAGTGAAGTGGAGAGTTGGATGCTTGGTCTGCAGTTATGGGAAGAGTTTCCCCATGGAGGACTTGCCTTTGCTTCTCTTCCCTCTACCTTTAAGAAGGAAAGTGCTGCTGGAGAAGTCTGGTGCATGATTGATTCCACTCTGGCTAATTCAGTTAGAAGAAGGTGAAGGTGCACTTCTGCCCAGATCTTGCCACCCACCCCAGCTGGGATGGGTATAGTGTTACTGTGAAGGGTGGGTAGATGATTCTCTGCCATGCTTTTGGGGGCTGCTTTTTTTTGTTGTTGTTGTTTGTTTGTTTGTTATAGTAATCAATCTAGAACGAATCATTTTTTTCTTTTTAGCACAGCGGGTAGGGCGTTCGCCTTACAAGCGGCCAACATGGCCGACCTGAGTTCGATTCCTCCGCCCCTCTCGGAGAGCCCGGCAGCTACCGAGAGTATTCGATATGCCAGACACAGTAACAACAAAGTCTCCAATGGAGACGTTACTGGGCCCGCTCGAGCAAATCGACGATCAACGGGAGGGCCTTTACCTTTACTAAGGAAATTAAAACAAGTAAACAAACTCCTGTAAATTTGCCTTCAGCTCATAAGAAGCATGACTTAACACCTAAAGGGAATGTAGGTACAGGATATCTTAATACCAAAGGGTAAAGTAGAAAATCTTACTTACTATAAGAGGCAGTTATTTCTGTTCTGTATACTTAACCATTACCTTTTCTTTTCTCTTCTTTTTTTTTCTGTCACAAACCAGTGCTACAGTTCAGCTCTATGAAGTCACCTCTTAAAACCATGCTAGCTCACTCTCTCAGTATCTTGAAGATCAGGAAAACATTGCAACTTAGAGAAATTCATGGAATTATTGTTCATATAACATGGTGACATGGGAGCATTCTAAAATTTCTAACAATGCGGTAGTGCACAGAGAAGAAATTAATGCTTTCCTTTGATCCAACTGCTCAGGGGTATAGTGGAGTGAAGCTGTGAACAGCTTGTTTGCTCTCTGCTAGTTTCCATACAGAGGATCATAGTTATGCACAAAGTTTGATAACTGGACTTCCCCTAACTCCCTGAGCAGTTTGAGACATCCATTTTCAAATCTCTTATGAGCTGCATCAGACACATACTCAGAAAAATGTAAGAAACACTCAAGGGCTGAGCGTTTAAGAAGTAGCACAGAAAGCCGAGTCCTTTGGAAACATAGGCCTGCAGTGAGTGGAGTTTGACTCTGCTTCCTGCTTGCCATTTCTCATTTTTATCTGGTTATCTCCTGGCAGGAGTTGAACTGTAGACTCTCCACCAAGCCCCTAATGCAGAGTTGAAACTAAAACAGGTCCATAAAATGAAAGTTTAAAGAACCAAAGAAATGTAGCATTATGGTTTTCAATACAGATGCTGAAAGGTTATCATGTATATCCCTGTACCTCCTTTCAGTGCTCAGTTCTTGTCCAGAGTGGTCATTTCCAATTATCATTGTCATAGAGAACTCTCCTCTATCTTAACTACCCTCCCTCCCCACACACACCCCTTGTGGTAATTTCAACCATTGACCAGTCCTTCTGGTCCATTTTCCCTGGCCTTGGATATTACGAATAACACAGCCATAAGGCATTTTTGCCTTGCACGTGGCTGGCCCTGCCAAGCCGGGTTCAATTCTTCTGCCCCTCTCGAAGAGTCCGGCAAGCTATTGAGAGTATCTTGCCCGCACTGCAAAGCCTGGCAAGCTCCCCATGACGTATTCAGTATGCCAAACACAGTAACAACAAGTCTCACAATGGAGACGTTACTGGCCTGGTCGAGCAACTCGATGAACAACGGGAGGTCAGTGCTATACAGTGCTCTATCTCCGAGATTCAATTTAAAAAAATAAAAATAAATAAATAAAAAGGAAAGGAAAGGAAGCAGTCAAATAGCACAGAGCTTTGAGGCACTTTCCTTAAATGTGGCTGAGCCTGGCTTGGTCCCCAGCATGGCGTGGACCTCTGAGAACCACTAGATGTGAGTTCTGAGCACAGAATGACTGTCCGTGTCCCTGGTTACCACATCTAGCTTGCTTCTGCCTGGCTAGGGTTCCCTCCCAGCCCTTGGCTGCTTGAGACATTCTTCTTTCTTTACATCTCAAATGCTGGTGCCTCTCAGTGTCCTCTTCTTAGTCCTCTTCTTTTCTTCTCCATGACCAGGGACACTGTTCTTGTCTGGAGGGTCCCTCCAGCTGACGTGTCTAGCTCTGAACCTGGTGGTTATAATCTTTTGAATGCTGGGTAGTCTCCAGCCCAGCTCTGTGCATGGTGGTGCTGCTGTCTCTGCTCCCAGCACCCTCCCACCTGTACCAGCTGTTACCCGGGGACCCCAAGGGAAAATGTCTCAGGAGTTTGGACCTCTCCCCCTGGGGTCTCCTGGCTCATGGCATTCCTGTGGGTGCTTTTACCTCTTTATCACCCTTTCTCTAGCCCAGTCTTTCTTTTTTTTCTAGCACCTCTTATAGCTCCCCCCTATCAGTTCTGCCTCCTTTCAATCTGCAAGGCAGTCACACATCTGAAATGAAAACGTGATCTCACCACTCTCCTGCTAATACCTCTCAGTGACTCTAACAAAGTTGTGTCTCTCGGGTCAGAAAAGTAGTACAGTGGGCAGGGTGTTTGCTTTTCATAAAACCAATCCAGGCTCAGTTCCTGGCACCCCAAAGCTCCTCCAGAAGGGATCTCTGAGCACAAAGCCAGGAGTAAGCCCTGAGCACCACCAGTGCTGGTCTCTACCAAACACCAATCACAATAAACATAACACCCAAAGTTGTGTCTCCTTCATAAGGCTCTCCAGCTTGTCCCCTGCCTTCCCTCTCTCTTGCAATGAATACCGCATCCCTGCAACACTGAACTGATTCTGGCTCTTCAGAGGCACCATTTAATTCTTTCCTCTGCCTTGTTCAGATTCCTCGCCTGCTATTCTACCAGACACCCATGCAAACTCTCTATCTTATTTTGTCTTTCTCCTTTGACTTGAGTTATGGCTTGATTTCCTGCAGGAGAGGTGTCCCTGAGCAGGGATCCCCATTATCCTGCTGTCCATCTGATAGGCTGGTCCTTTTTCAGTAGAACCCCTCAGAATATCTCAGACTCTTGTCATTAAGTGCAGGGTTATCTCTTGTCTGAATCAATCCGTGGGAGCCAGTGGAGAGACAGCCTACAAGACACTGGACCACCCCCCAGAGCAAAGGTCAGAGCAACCCCACGACCGACCCTGCAGATCTATGGCTTACTTCCCCTGAAGCCACGCATACAGATTTCCTTTAAAATCTTTGTCTTGGGGACCGAAGAGATAATTCCATGGGTCAGGCACTTGCCTTGCATGTAGTAGACTGGGGTTTGATCCCTAGCACCACTTATGATCCCCTGAGAACCCCTCAGCCACAGAGCCAGAAGTAAGCCTATGCATAGCCAGGTATGACCCCAAAGTCAAATAAAATAAAATAAAAATGTTCCCTTTAGGCGGTACTATGCATTCATGACTTTCCCATTGTTTGGGGCTAAGTACAGCAACTTCACAAAGTGCTCGGTCCTACAAGCCAAAGTCCACAATGAAGGACTTCGGAGACTAAAACATCTGCTGACAGAACAATGAAATCAAGTGATTGTTCCCTTAGAACCTAGCCACAGCCGGGCAATGCTTGCCTTTCTCTGAAATGTCCTCCACACAAACAGGGACCTGCCAGGAAGGTCCATTCACTCTCACCCTTCCATTCACTCTCCATTAGAATGCAACATCATGACATTTGCTCTCTGAACACTGTCCCTTCACAGTTACCATTGGTTCTGGCCTCTGTTACTATCCCCGGTGGTATCTTAGGAGGGTCACCACCCCATTCTCTAGACACCTTCCCTAAGGAAGAGCTTCGGGTCATGCTGGCCGCACATGCCCACCTACATCTCAGGTGCTGCCCTTCTGAAATAAATCCAGATTCCACAGTGTAGATCATTCACAGTGTTCTTTATCAGAAAGAGCGAGTAAGACAGACCCACAGACACAGAAAGAAATAGAGACAGAGTGTGCTTCCCAGAGCCCTGCCTGAAAGGCGCTTCCCCTAGCCCTGAGCCTCTCTACTACCTTCTCTCCCGCCTTTTCAGCATCTGCCGGAAGTCTTCAGGAGGGTAGTTATGCCTCCATCCTCCGCTCATCTCCACTTCTTCCTCCTTCCCTCCCCTGCTCTCAACCATGGCATCTCGTAGTTCTGAAATTCAGTCCCTCACCTCTCTTGGGAATATTTTCTTGTGTATTTCTCACAGAAGGGGTTTGGACTGGCTCATAAGGATGGCAAGGGGCTCTCAGCAGAGTCTAGACCCCCATCGGGGGCCCAGAGCGCTGGCCCATGGCCTTAGATTAG